GCGCGATCCTGGCACCTCTGCTTGGGAGACCTTGCTGACAGCGAAGGCTTGGTTCAGTCACGCCACGTTGCTGGTCTTCTGGCAGCACTGCCGGCCTGCTGGGGTGGCTTTTGGAGACGAACCCCTCCCAAACTCTCCTTGTCGTCTCTCAAATCGTTTGTCAGGCTTGGCACGCTCCGTACAGCATGGGCTGATCTCATCCTTCCTCATTTATCTTGGGGAGAATCTGGGTTTGCTCACTGTCCGGTTTATGTCGGCACAACTTCTGCTTTCTTGCTGCAGCAGCACTGTGGTGGGTACAGCCAGCACTAAACAGCCCTGGGCACATCCTGTCCGTCAGGAACGTGGAAAGGCCGAGTACACACGTGTTCCTACAAAAGCAGGTCTCCGAGGGCTGGGGGAGCGGGAATGGGCACATAGCAAGTGCTTTAGCTGCTGCAGCATCCCTCATCACTAACCCGCGGTGACTTACCATCACAGGCAGACAAGGGTGGTGCTCCTGGGGCTTGCAGGAGTGGTTCTCATGGCTTGCCCTTCCAGCGGGACCCAACACGTCATTCCAAAGCGCAGCTGCCGCTGGCGTGGGAGCAGCTGCCCTTACAGAGCAGGTAAAGGGTTGGGTGTGGGTGCTCTTACCGTGTTGAGGAGTGTAAGAGAGCCTGAGCCTTGCTGGACTGTCGGTGCTGTTAATAGTTAATAATCACCCAGATGGGGGATAAAAGGCAGATGATGCGGGTTGTGAGCCTACCAGACAGCCAGGTAGTGGAGCAAATTAACACTTGTGCATGAATGTGAGTCTCTCCATGGTTTATCTTCCACTGACACCTCCAGATGAGAAATGTGCACCCACTACAGCATTTCTGAGCCATCCATCCAACAAAAACTTTTGGGCAGCACTATGGCAGCTCTCAACATCTCGAAAGTGATGTTTTCTTTAAGTTACGGAGCCTGACCTCTGAGATGGCTCGGACGAAGGGACACGGCTCGCCGTGTAGGAGCGTTACGTATTTAGGCCTTTGGGCACCGATTAGTAGCCACGGGGGTTCGTTGCCTGTTGAAGCTCCCTGGCTTGGCACGGGAACGAGGTGATTGCACATACCTTGGGAATACAGGTTGGTGGTAGCACTGAAGCTAAGTGCCCGTGGGTTAATATTAGTCAAACCAGACCAATCAAAGGAACTGGCAAGTTTGAAATGCTCTGGAGGGAAGCACAGCCCTGATGGATCTGTTACTCAAAGGCTGTATCTAGTGCTTGCTCTGCTCAGAGTTGTCTTCGGCAACGGTTCAACCCTTGGGCGCAGCACAGAGCTGCTCAGTGACAGGCAACAGCATGACTGACGCGGTTCATTTAGGGACTGTGTGAGGAGTTGACCCGTTTCCCGACACCAGGAAAACTTGCCACCATGTCAAGGGTCTGCAAAGCCCATCCTTTGGGTGACGGCTTTGCCCACGTGCAGCAAAGCTGTGCAGCACGGGCAGGAGCTGCAGTCCGGCCTCTGCTCCGGTCTGCGTTAGCGCTAACCTCACCCTCTAACAGTTCTGAAACGTGCCTGCTTTTCCATCCTCCCTGAACTTGCCACAGCCTGTGAGGGCACGTAATCAGTCCTTGGCTTTCAGTTAAACCCTTGGTCATGGAAATGACATTATTTCTCCTCTCGCCCCTCCCCTTCTGTTGCAGTCTGGATTTTTTATTTTTTCCAGCAGTACTGAGGCTTCGTAACTCTGCACAAGGTAAACAGAAGCTGCAACAGCTCGGTAGCTCCAAAAGATGAGGCCCTGGAGAGTCCCACCGCGCTCGGAGAATCTAGGTCTCGGGTACAAGCGAACCAGACGCCAGATGGGCTGGTGAGAAGCTGACGTGTGTTCCTTCTTGCCTTCCCCAAAGACGTGGTGTCAAACCAGCCCCTCGCTCACACCGGTGGGGGCTGGCCAGGGGACCTGGGTGTCCCCTGGGGGGGACACACGGCTTTTTTCCCCCAAGGATTTACTGTGATGGCGGGAGGTGGGCTGGTTCCTTGAGGCCCAGCCCCTCCTCGCGCGTCAGGTGCTGCTTGTTCCACTGTAGGAACATAAAAATACTGTTGCAGCCCCCCAAAAAAATGATCTAAACCTTCAGCTGTTCACATGCATCTGTCAGTGTGGACATAAACCAGCAGGTACGGATGATTTCCATAGATTTATATGGCACGATGACAGACGTTTTAATGTGCCTTGGGCAGATATGCACAAATCCAGGGCTCGTCAGACGGGGAGCTAGACTGAATTACCTCTCTCTCTGGGCTACTTCTCGGGAATATTTCTGGCCTTGGGCAAATGCGAAAAGCCCAGAACGAAGATAAATGGCTCAGCTCCCCATGATTAATAAAGGAATCGTTATTTTTAAACACGTGGTTTGGGAGCCAATTAATATTAATCTTCGGCTCTTCCGTGCTGAACAAACCTCAGCTCGATGGGGGTTTTATCCCATGGAACAGAGATGAAGAACCCCGAGTTGCGTTTGTGTTGACGTGGGCAAGAGGAGGAATAACTAGTCGGTCAGCAGTGTGAAAAAGCTGGTCGTGAAATCCCTAGTACTTCCGTTTGATAACGAGAGGCATTTTTGTGCTGGTGTTGTGTCTAGATCTCATACTGGGTTTGCATCTAAGCGTTGAAACCGCTTCTGGAGGGACCTCTGTGTCGCACACTCGAATGTACAAAACCAAAGTCCTCGGGAGTCTTTTAGAGAGAGTCACAACCAGGGTTACAGAACGCGCAGCTGAGTTCCTAGGGCTGCAATCACAGTGTGTCGGTGTTTGCTTCCTTTCAAGCAGGCAGCAACCACTGAAGAGTACAAAAAAAAAAAAAGATTACAAAAAAAAAAAAAATGACTGAAGGCCCAAAAGGAACAACCAGAAAAGGGAAGAGGTTTGAAGACAATGGACAGTTCCTGTGGAAAATGAAATCAGAAGGTTACAGGGATCTCGCTGCCTTCAGTTATTTACCTTGTGCACCCAGAGCCCTCTGCTTGGGAAGGGAAAGGAAGAAGAGGAAGGAAGAACTGCGGCAGGAGGGAATAAGACCATGTAAGGAAAAGAACTGAATTTAACTGGCACATGCTCTAATCCTTAGTTTATTTCTGGTTAAAAATATAGCAATCCAGTGCAGTGTAATAAGAAATCTGCTGAAAATTTAGCAGAGAGACAGCTAAAACAGAAGCAAAGCAAAGCTGAGTCCACAAGTCAGGGCTGTACCCCACAACTCTGAATGTGAAATGTCGAGGAGGTTTCTTTTTTCCCCCCCTCCTTTCCCCCACCCCAAAATTGATCTGTGTATGGGTTTCATCCCACCCTTGGGCTGCTGCCATGCTCGCACCCCTTCTCCCGTTGAACAGAGCTGCAGTGGGTAAAACTGAGGGTGGAATTTGGTCCCTGGATGTACCAAATCCCCAACGAGCCGTTGGAACCGTACCTGGTGGCGGTGGATCACCGGCAAAACCAACCTCCGTGGCAGGGAAGGACGGCATGGGGAGGGGAGGGCGAAAGGGAAGGGTCGTTTTTGAAAAGCGAGGGGACGTCAGCCACTTCCAAGCAATTGAGCTAAGACCACGCTCTCGGGTTTGGGACCATAACAGCTCAGAACAGGGATACGGCATCTTTAATGAGTATGCATATTATCAGTGGGGACAGGGGAGGGGAGAAAATCAAGGCAGGCATATTACAAAGATGGTATAAACGAACAAATTAAGTGACATAGAAAAAAAAAAAGAAAAGAATACATCCTCAGAGGCTGCCATTGCCAATGATGTTTCTTTTTTTGTTTTTCTTTTTTTTCTTTTTTTTCTTTTTTTGTTTTTTTTTTTACAGGGACATGTTGGAAGCTGGAATATACATCCTGCATTACAAAGTGCAAAATACTACATGCTCAGAGCCCAAGCATGATGTCTGAAACAGTCCACAGCAAGATGTAAGAGACAAACCCACCACCCTCTCCCTCCTCTCTGGGACATGCTCCAGTGCTCCTCCCGGGATGCCTTTGAAAAACAGTTTTAACCTTATTTTGCTTTATTTTTTGCTTTATCGTTGCCCTACATGGATCAGAATTGAGCCCTCGCTCCCAAGTCCCTCCCCACCAGTCTGCTCCCCCTGCACACGTGAGTTTGGGATGGGATGCTCAAGTACCGCTGCTCCTCGCGTGGACCAGCAGCTACTCAATTCGTGTTGCTGAAGGTGCCTGCAAGTTGTTTTTTTTTTTTTGGGCGGGGGGAGATCCAGGTACACATTTTTACCCAGGAGCACTTGGCCGTGTAGCACTGGGTGGTTTTTCCAGCCTTGCCATGGCAGTGGGGGAGCAGCCTGGGGAGGAGGAGTGAAGGCAGGAGTGGTGGTGGGGCTGCTGCTCACACCTTGTGTTCCCTATTTCCCCCCCTGCCCCAAGAAATTTAGCAAAATGCCAATTGCTGCTTTGTTTTAAAAAACAAATGGCAAAACGGGACCTGTTGCCCTTCTCCCACCTTTTCCCTCTGGGTTCCTGCCTTCCCTGTGCTCCTGCTCTCCTCCTCCTTACAGCGCCGCTTCTCCACTTGCCAAGGGAGAAGGAAGAAAAGCCTCATTTTTACATTAAAGCTGTTGTGGATTTCCCTGGGAAACTCAGCCTGGAGCATCCCAGGACCCGTACATACTTCAAACAAAATCTCCCCCTGGTGCCCTCATCTCGTGTCCGTTTTGGGGTTCGTTACTGTTGTTACGAATATATCTTTTGAGGGAGGTGAGGGGAAGGGAAATGAGGTTTTATTTTGTTGGGATTCCTTCTCATCCTTTCCAGTGTTGGGGGGGCAGAGTGTTGATAGCATTGTTGCCATGCCACACAGCATAGTGTTATACAAGCAAAGAATTTTGGCTAAAATCCAAAAAACATTACCCAGGAAAAAAGGCAAACTGTGAGTGAGACTCGATCGTTTGTTGTTCTTCTGTGAAAAGACTTGGAAATTGTCGTAGGACAGTTCGAGTTATGATTTTTCCCTTTGTTGTTGTTGTTTGGTTTTTTTTTTCCCCCCATTCATACATGTAACTGTTATTTTTGCAAACAAGACAGTCTTGAATTAGATGAAAAAGTTAATAAACAAAATGGCGACTCCAATGTTTAGTAAGATCACCATGACTACCAGGATGGGAGCTGAGCCCTGGAAGAGAAAGAGAAGGAGAGGAGTTAGGAGGCAGGTTGGAATTCCCGGTGTGTCGCCTTGTAGCAGGGGTCAGGCGCTGCGCTGGGTCTGGGGTACAGCGGGGCGGGTCTGCGGATGAGCAGACCCCAAAGAGCCCGTCTACGCCCTCCAGCAAACGACCCCGAAGCGCCAGGTAACCCCCGCTGAGTTTTTGCAGGCTGCTGCCTCAGTGAGGAAGGTGGGAATGAGGATCTGCCCCGTCGAGGGGAGCGAACCGCAGAAGCGGGGACTGAACCTGCATCTGTTGCCACCATCCCTGTGGCAATAAACACATCCCCCCGCCGCCTTTCGCCAAGGCCCAGCGTCCTCCTGAGGCAGCCCTCCGCTCCTCCAAAGGCAACAAAATCCCTCTCCCGTTTCGCCAACAGGAATGAACTGGGCTCTGCCAGGAGCCCCTTTGCTCCCTCCCCACACCGACCCATAGCCCAAGGTGTTGCGGGGCCCGCGGCATCCCTGGTGGCACTACCCCCGTATCAGCAAAGCTGCTGGATTCCTGCTTTTCAGCACTTCCTTCCCATCCCTCTGCCTCGGCAGACGTGCTGCCCGTCTCGGGCAGACCCCGTTCACTGCCGTGCATCAGCACAACGGGGTCTATGGCCCAGCGTGAGCTCCGGACCCCGCGTCTGCCCAGCACAGACCCGGATGCGCACCCACCCTGCCCGCGGGGTACGGCAGTGCTTGCTCCCCTCCTGCACCTGGGAAATCTGCCCTTAACAGCACCACGGGGGTGGGTGGCTTACCCGG